TTGAAAGCAGTTCTTAGAGGGAAGTTTATAGCTCTAAGTGCCTGCATTAAAAAATCAGAAAGGACACAAATAAATGACTTAACAATGCAACTCAAGACACTTGAAAAGCAACAACAAATGAAACCCAAACCCAGCAGAGAAGCATAAATAACAAAAATCAGAACAGAAATTAATGTGGCCCCTGAGGAACAGATCCTCAAATGACCTTAAGTGTTGGGGTTCTCTGTTATGCAAGTAGAAGTCTCTTCACGTCCAGATAGCTCACGAGCTCGGAAACCATGTGCTTCAGATTCCTTCATAGCAGAGTGCCTTCCTGGCATCCTCCCTGACTCTTCTTTTACAGTGCTCACCACAAATACATGCCCTCAGGCACAGGAGCTACCAGGTTTTAATCAGGCGTTGTCTGATAGCCTGATAGAAGCCCACCGCCCTATGTAAATGAGGCATCCTAAAAGTACCAATCAGCTAAGACTTCTTCTACTGTCTCTACACTATAAATAGTCCTAGTTTTATCCCAATAAAGTTGGAGCTGAAGCAGGAGCTGGAGCAGGAGCTGGAGCAGGAGCTGGATCACCGAGACTTGGAGCCGAGCTAAGTCACTGAATAAAGGAGCTGGAGCTGAATCACTGAGATCTGAGCTGAGTCACTTGTCTTGAGCTGTAACACTAAATCCTGTGATCCAGTCTCCCCGGGGGGCGCTATTCCTCCATCACGGACTCACAGACACCCTGGCTTTCGCCGTTCCTCATACGCTTCCTGTGTGGTCCAAGTGGCCAGAGGACCTCACATCCTGAGGAAGGTATATGGGTGAAATAGGGACGGGATCGACTGAGTAAATCTCAGGAGCGGAGGAGCTTACACTGCCCAGGAGTGCGCGCTGGGACCCTGAGAACCCAGCGCGTGCACGCCTAAACACTCTAATGTGCACATGGTAGTTTCTCCTGCTCTCTCTGACGTGCACATGGTCATGTCACCTGCACCCTTTGACATGCACATGGTGGTGTCACCTGCCATTTTTGACCACACCTGACCCTGGGCCACATCCAGAGTGAGTGCGCCCGGGAGCCCAGGCGCGCTCCCCACATCGCTTGCGGCCAGACTCACGCGGGGACTAACCAGGTGTGGCGGAGACCCCAGGGTGCCCACACACACCACGCCGGGGGTCCAGCGACCTGCCCCATACTTAAGAGTAAAATAAATTGGTTTGTTTGGGCCAACTGTATGGTCTTAAACACCCAAAAGGAAAGTATAACCAAAGATTAAAGGGATAATATAATTCTTTAGGAGTCCATGTGTATAGCTAAAAACTACATAACAAGAAACAATGCCAGACAGGAAACACGTTCCTTTGAGTTGTTGGCCAGGGTGGCCCAAGAGACTCCCAGACAGTAACCCAGCATAGAACTGGGAAAATGAACAGCAGTCCCCAATCTTATGTAAAGGAATATTGGTAACTGATTGTTGCTAGACAAGGAAGAGCTGATCTTCCTAAAACAAGGAACTCTAGATAAGCTAACTAGATTCAGCAGATGGACAAGCACTGGAGAACGGCTGGGGGTGCTGACAACACAGTGGGGGTTACAGAGTATATGGGCTCCAGTCACGGGCGGGGAGTCTACAGGAGGGTGCCATTTGGGATGTGGGTATATAGATGAATAAGATTGTTTGGGGTGTTCTGTATGAAATACACACAAAAAAAATCAACAAATAAAAAAATGAGTTATATATGAGGAAGAAGCATAAAATTTGCTCCATGTTAATTAGTAGAGATGAAACACATTACCATTGAAATCTACCCGATGGTTTTATATCCATGCTCAGGTGGATCTCAGAAAGTAACCGACTGTGACTAGTAATAATCAGATACATAGAGATTAGAGATGCATGTGAAAACATCTAAGTGTTAGTAGCATTAAAAAATGAGTTTTTCTGTATGAAACAGCATATTTTAAAATGAAACGGAGATCTTTCTTAAAGGTTAAAACTTCATTCAATTTTATATCTTGTAGGGTTTATACTGAGTTCAATATTGTCTAACTGTATTAATTCAACTGTGAACCTAAAAATTTTCAGCCAATTTTGAAAGAGATGAATCTTTGCTCTGGAAATTGTTATTGAATATGTTAATGCTGTAATGAAATGCTTCTTCTAATCATGTGGTTATTAAATGAATATTTAAAAAAATATTTTAATTTATCACTTTTGTTTTATATGTATGCATGTATTGACTGCAATGCTTGCGGAGGTCAGAAGAGGGTCTCTGAACCCCTGGGACTAGAGCTACAGACATTTGTTACCCATGTGGGTCCTAGGAATCAAACCTGGGTCCTCTGCAAGAGCTCCTAACTCTGCAAGTACTCTTAACTGCTGAGCCACCTCTTCAGCCCCATATAAATCTTTTTTTAAAAAATTTTAATACAAAGGAAGAGTAACAAAGGTCATTAAACAGCAAAATGACAAGTACAAACTATAATTAAATTATATAGAAATGGTTTAAATAACTCAATCAAAAGACACAGACTGACAGACTAAATATAACACATGATCTAGCTGTATAATGTCCATAATAAACACTGTTTAGATGGCTCAGTGGGTAAAGGCACTTACTATGAAGCTTAACAACTTGAATTTGATCACTGGGACCCACATGGTGAAAGGAAAGAACATCTAAACACATGCTATGGTACACATGCACAAACACACATACTCATTCACACACATAGGAAATTAATTTTAAAAATAAAAATATACTGAAAGTATGAAAAAGAGAAAGCTGGATTGCCTATATGCATATCAGAAATATATATTAATATCAAGAATACACAAAAATCATAAACATAAACAATTGAGTTCCAAAATACATGAAATAAAATTTATAGAATTGAAATGAAAAATTCAACAGGTAGAAACTACTAGAACTCATTTTAAAAGATTGAAACAATAAGCTCAAACTATATGAAAGCCACAGTTTTGTCAAGGCAGAAAAATACAAATAAAAATAAGCCATCTGGGTAGGCTATGAGTATAGCTCACTGGCAGTGTATTTGGTAGAATTTGCCAATGCTCTTGTGGTTAAATCCTCAGAATACCACAAAAAGTAGAAAACAAAAACAATAAACATAAAATGGCCACCTTCTCTTGTCCTTGTAACTCCAGAAGCTGAGCATGGGGATCATTTGTGCTAAGCCAGGGCTTTGAAGCCAGCCTAGGAAACATAGCAAGGCTTCATCTCTAAACAAACAAACAAGCAACATATTTGGGAACAAAATAAGGTATAGTTATTATTGTAGCAGTATCAGACCAAAGGTCTTAGGACTTCTGCTAGTGAGTCTCCAAAGCTGCCTTTAATACTAGTCTACCCTTAAATTCAATCTTTATGAGAATCATCCAAAGAATAGTTACTATTTCTTTTTTGATATAAGGTCTTGTTCTGTAGGTCAGGTTGACCCCTAATTCATCAATCATTTTCCTGCCTCAACCTCCCCAGTGATGGAGTTACTGGTGCATAATACCACACCTGATTAGTTTTTATTCTTGTCATTTCATTTTTATTTACAGCTGAATAAAACTCCATTATTTATATGTTCAAAATTGTCTTTATTCACTCATCTGCTGAAGGACCTCTAGGTTAGTTTCACTTCTTTATTATTGTGCATAGTACAGCAATAAATGTGGATGTGCAAGTATCTCTGTGGAATGTTGACCTTCACTATGTACATGGAACCAAAGCCTGACCTGATCAGTAAGTTATTAGTAAATTGGATACTTACTCTTTTTCTAAGGTTAAATATATACATTTTACTAATATTCTTATAAAATATAAAGGTCCTAGAGTGATAGTTCTGTGGTTAAGAATGCTTGGTGTCAAGAGCCCCATCCTTGAAAGAGATTGCCTCTCTCCCTCCCAGCAGCCATCAGTTGCCACAATTTCCTTAAGCTGGGTTTTCTTACCCACTTCCTCATTAGACTCTATAGGCCTTATATAAAAGAGTATGTTAAATTGAGAGGGGGCAATAAGAGGAGGTGCAGATAGAGGAAGGGATTTAAATACCATCAAATTGTATTGCATGCAAACCACAAAAACTCAATAAAAAAGAAAAATGAGAAAGAGAGAGAGAGAGAGAGAGAGAGAGAGAGAGAGAGAAAGAGAGAGATTGCTGCTCTTACAGAGGACCAGAGTTTGGCTCCCAGAACCCATGTTGGATGGCTCGCAATCACCTGTAACTCCAGAGCCAGGGGATCTGATGCCCTGATCTGGCCTCCACAGGTACCTGCAAACACACACACACACACACACACACACACACACACACACACACACACAAATAAAAATAAAACAAATCTTAAGCTGGCATGTGGCATAGGCCTTTAATCCCAGCACTCAGGAGGAGAGATCAAAGTCAGCCTGGTCTACATAGTGAGTTCAAGGCCACCTGGGGCTATAGGGAGATCCTGTCTCAAAAAGACCAAAAAAACCATTTTTTAAAAAATTTTTGTCTGTGTGCCTGCTTATCTATATGAACACCACTTGTGTGTAGTGCCTATAGAGGCCAAGCTATCAACAAACTTCCAAACAAATACTAATGCAAGACTAGCAATTCTCATTGACTGGTAATATTTCTGAAACTACTCTGGGGAAAGATAATGGGTTTCCAGCTGTTTGTTTTCTAAATGAAAACATAAAACGAACTTTATTCTCCCAAATCTGCCAATTACATTCATTATTATTTCATTTAAAAATTACTAGCAAAAACATGAGAATATTTTAAACATTATTAAATCATCTCAGCTTAATAAAAAGCAAATTATATTTTCATTATCTCAATTTTCTGACCTTTGACCAATTATTTTTTCTTGAAACAGGGTCTCACTATTCAGCCCAGACTAGAACATCATGATCTTCCTGCTTCAGTTTTCTGAGTGCTGCAGTTACAGACATGTGCCACCATGCCTAGCTCTCATCAGTTTTTTAAAAAAAATTACTTTTATGAGTGAGTTACCTTTTACAACAGTGACACTGTCCGCATGTGTCAAGGACTGGGGGCGGCTGCGAAGTTTACTTTTGAAAGATCTTGGTCGACGTGGTGATGCAGGAGACAAAGGAATCTCTGAAGATTGGGCTTTGCTATCTTTAATTGATCGAAGGCGTTCATAGAGTTCCTGTAGCTCTTTATTCTGCTGGGTTTGAAGATTTACCACTTCTTGAATGTGTCTGAATAAAAATTATGCAGAAAATATTTTAATTGCCTTTATATTAAAAAAGATGAAATCAGAAACTTTATGAAAGCACAAGTTTAATGAAGCATAAGATTAACAATGGTGAAATACACAGGATTTTCACAATTTTAGAATGGTGTCAAAGAAAAAGATGAACAAATTGATGAGGACAAATAGTTAAAAGTTTTGATATAAAAAATTATAGTTATATTGGAATCTATTTTTTACATTTTTTTTTGACACAAGATTTTGCTAATGTAGCACTAGCTAGCTTGGAATTTACTATGCAGACCAAGGTGGCTTAGAGCATTCCTTCCAAGTGCTGGGATTACAGGAATGAGTAATCACGCCTAGCTTGGAACACAATTTTAACAATTATCTATAAGTTTAAAATGTACATACCTTTTCACTGTATTCCACAGATATATTTGTGTAAGTATGTAAAAAAGATAAGCATCATTTGTATAAGCAAAACACAGGGAAATTGAAATATCTGTTAGGAAGGGATACATTTTTATATTGGAATTGCATGTGGCCATTTTTTTAAAGGTAGATTTATGGAGGCCAGAGAGATGGCTCAGGGGTTAAGAGCACTGGCTGCTTTTGCAGAGGACTGGGGTTCAGTTCCCAGCAACCACATGGATGCTAAGACTTGCCCTTATTCATTGCCCTCTTCTGGCCTCCATGGACACTGCACACACATAGTGCACTTACATGCACACAGGCAAAACAATCATATACATACAGTAAGAAAATTAAAAAGGCATATTCACAGAGATATGTCTATAGACCCAAATTTTAAGTAAAAATTGTAGAGCATTCTTTTTTAAATTTTTATTTATTTTATTATTTTTTTGTGTATGAGTATACTGCCTGTGTGTGTGTAAGTGCATCCATGCTGTGCAAGGCCCACAGAGGTCAGAAGAGGGCATTGGATCCCTTGAAACTGGAGTTACGGATGATTTTTAGTTGCCATGTGGGTGCTGGGAATTAAACTCAGGTCCTCTGCAAGAGCAGCCAGTGCTCTTAACCACTGACTCATCTCTCCAGCCCCTAAAAATTGTACAACATTCTTATTTGATATTGTACTACTGTAAAAGACAAAAACTATATATGTATAAATGCGTGGATAAGGGACCAGCAAGAAATATCCAAAGAGCTCACAGTCAGTGCCTCTGAGAAATGAGACTGTAGTATAGACATGTAAGCAGTTAAAAAAAATATTTTATTTATTATTATTATTATTTTTGGTACCAGGAAGGTTCTAGAGAAACAATTGAAAGGATGAATTTCTTTAATGGGCTTGTTGGTATTTGGAGCAGGCTCTCCAACTCAGAGTCTTCAGATAGCATGGAGAGCACTGAAAATCCGTGGTGTAGACTATTTGAAACAATTATGGAGATAGACCCATTTGAATCTCCTAACTTACCTCTTGTGAAGAGCAAGAAATTTAATGACTCTATACATAAATTTGTGGAAAAATAAGAAAAATAATGATGCTGGATGGTTACTTCTAGCATCTTTGGATAATGTGATGAAGATAAACAATGAGCTTAATGATAAAATTGGCAAGCTCCATATTCAAATCAACAGTTTAAAGGTGTCCAAGTGTGCTTGGAAGAGAATCTTCTCTCCAGCAGCCAGAGAGCTAAAGCTGCAGAAAATCAAGCTGGAGCCCTTATTATATGTTTGGCTGACCTACAACGTAAAATGTAACGCCCAGCCTCAAAGGGTATCAGCAGTAAAGGTGATGGCATTGGTAGGAAAAGATTGGAATCCTGACACGTGGGATGGAGACATGTGGGACAACCCTGAGGAGGCTGAGGATTTTGAATCCTCAGACTCTGAGGAATTTGATTCACCTGATGAACTAATATCCCCACCCTCCCCACCCTTGCCTGAGGAAACTAATCCCATTGAGGAAGCTAATCCCATTCAGCAAGAGGAAGCTGATGTCCCTCAGGGCCCAGTGATTGTTGCCTCTAGACCTATAACCAGACTCAAAGCTAAACAGGCCCCTAGAGGAGAGACAGAAAGTGTGGTCCATGAGGAGGTGTGCTACACCAATAAAGAACTTAGTGAATATGCTAATTCTTTCAAGCAGAAGTCTAATGAATATGTCTGGGAATGGATTTTAAGGGTATGGGACAATGGTGGAAGGAACATGAAATTGGATCAGGCTGAGTTTATTGACATGGGTCCCCTGACTGGAGATTCTAGGTTTAATATGGAAGCTCGTGCAGTTAAAAAAGGTGTTAAAAGTTTTTTAGATTGGTTGGCCAAGGTATCTATCAAAAGATGGCCTACTGACAGAGAGCTGGAGATGCCTGATATCCCTTGGCTTAGTATTGATGAAGGGATTGTAAGGCTCAGGCAAATTGG